AAAACATAGAATCACAGTGTTGGAAGGGACCTTAAAGGTCCTCTAGTCCAACCCCATGCTCAAGGCAGATCTTATACAGGTAGTCCTCAACTTACAACAGCATTCCCATGGTCACGTGATCAAAATTTGGATGCTTGGCAACTGACTCATAGTTATGGCCGTTGCAGCGTCCCTGGGGTCACACGATCTCCGTTTTGCGACCTTCTGACAAGCCAAGTGAATGGGGGTTCACTTAACAACCCCGTGGCTGACTTGACAACTGCATTTAACAACTGTGGCAAGGAAGGATCGTCAGATGGGGCCAAACTCACTTTTTTTAAAAAAAAACCTGTCTCGTTTAGCCACGGGAATTTTGAGCTCGATTTTTGGTTGTAAGTCCAGGATTAACTGCAGTCAAGAGCTTTTTGTAGATCTCCGTGTACACAACGAACCAGGGGAACGTTTTAATTTCAATGCTCAATCTTTTTTCTTTTTTAATTTTTTTTATTACACTTGGGTCTGTGAGTGCAGGTTTAAAAAGAAAGACAGCATACGCAATAAGTAATTAAATGAAAAGAATAAGTGTGTGTTACCCTTAAAAGGAGGTGTTTTTCCATATTTTATCATGGAAGCTTGTTTGTACCCAGTGGTGGGTTTCAAATTTTTTTACTACCGATTCTGTGGGCGTGGCTTGGTGGGCGTGGCAGGGGAAGGTTACTGCAAAATCTCCATTCCCACCCCACTCCAGGGGAAGGTTACTGCAAAATCCCCATTTCCTCCCGATCAGCTGGGATTTGGGAGGCAGAGAATAGATGTCGGTGGGGGCCAGCCAGAATTTTTACTACCGGTTCTCCAAACGACTCAAAATTTCTGCTACCGGTTCGCCAGAACCTGCTGAAACCCCATTTCTGGTTTGTACCCTTGCACTTGTAACACACATATGTCCAGTTCAAGAATCTGGAGGGCAATCTACAAGCAAGGAGGCACAGGTTTTTCTACTCTAGTTTTAGCCTACCTCGCAGGGGTGTTATTCTGGGGGAGAAACAGGAGCAGCAATTGCACTATACAGGTATTCCTCGTTTTACAACCATTCGTTTAGTGACGGTGACAAGTTACAAGGCCGTTTTTCACTCTGCACGGAGCAGCAGCCGACTCACGGTCACACGAGCAAAATTTGGACGCTTGGCAACTGATTCACATTTATGACGGTTGCAGCGTGCCGTGGTCACGGGATCCCCTTTTGTGACCTTCTGACGAGCAAAATCAGTGGAGAAGCCGGATTCACTCAACGACCCTGTGACTAACTTAATAACGGCAGTGATTCATGTACCGACTGACCAGAACGGGTCGTAAAATGGAGCGAAACTCAATTAACCATTAGGAAAGGAAATTCGGGCTTTAACTGCGGTCGTAAATTGAGGATTATCTGTATGTGCCACTTTGAAGGAAAAGTAGGATCGAAAAGAAGAAAAGAAATTCATTTTAAATCCCTCCCTCCTTACGACGCAAGTCAAAATTTAATTTCCCTCTTTTTTTGTAAAAACCATATTGCCAGCAAACACCTAAACTGTTTCTTTCATTTTTATTTCTAAAAATTATTGCATAGGTAATCCTCAACTAGTGACCGTTTAGTGACCGTTTGAAGTTTTTCATTCCTACGACTGTTATAGCATCCCTATGGGCACCTAATCAAAATTCAGGCAGTTGGAAACTGACTCGTACTTATGATGGTTGCAGTGTCCCGAGGTCACATGATCCCTTTTTGAGACCTTCTGACAAGCAAAGTCAATGGGGGAAGCCAGTCTCACTTAACAACTATGTTACTAACAAACTGCAGTGACTCACTTAACGACAGTGGGAAGAAAAGTCGGGGGAAAGTTCATTTAACACCTGTCTTGCTTAGCAACTGAAATTTTGGACTCAGTTGCGGCTCTAAGTCGAGGACTACCCATATAGGCATCTACAGTTAGTCCTCGATTTACGACTGGTTGCTTAATGATGGATCTTTCCAGTTTATGACAGATGCAGCATTCCGGGGGGGGGGTGTCGCATGGTTCCCCTTTTGCAAACTTCTAACAAGCAAAGTCAATGGAGGAAGCCAGATTCACTTAACAACGGTGTTACTAATGTAACAACTGCAGTGATTCACTTAACAACGATGGCAAGAAAGATTGTAAAATGGGGCCAAACTCACTTAACAATGGAAATGTTGGGCTCCATTGTGGTCATAAGTCGAGGACTACCTGTATTACAGCCACCCTCTCCTGGTCCAGAGACTGAAAGACTCAAATCCTTCTTTTGCACTGTGCATTTTTAGCAGCCACACGAGAGGAACCTCTATTTTCCCTGCCAAACACCATGAATAAGTCCAGCTGCTCACAGAAAACAGAAGAAAGTGGGGGGAAAATACTCCCTTTTTGACTGAATCGATTAAAAGAGGGAGATAAAAGTGTAAAATGGCCTCTTGATGTTCAGGACGACGTTGAAAAATCACTTTATTCCAACTCTTGGAATAAAGTGATTTTTCAACGTCGTCCTGAACATCAAGAAATAAAATTTCTGGTTTATCCCGGTGTCCCTTGTATGTTTAATTTTAAATTTTATTTCTTGGCATTCCAGGGGTTCAGCTATCTATGGAAAAGTGTTTGATTTTGTTTTTCCCATTAGGATCGATTTCGTTAGCCATATACAGATAGTCCTCAACTTACAACCACAGTTGAGCCCAACATTTCCGTCGCTAAGCGAGACATTTGTTAAAGTGAGTTTTGATCTGTTTTACCACCTTTCTTGCCACGGCTGTTAAGCGAATCAGTGCAGTTGTTAAGTGAGTAACACGGTTGTTAAGCGAATCTGGCTTCCCTGTTGACTTTGCTTGTCATAAGGTCACAAAAGCGGGGGGAGGTCATGTGACCCCGGGACCCTGCAACGGTCATAAATACGAGTCGGTTGACAAGCTGACTCTGAATTTTGATGACGAAACCATGGGAGTAGTGTAACGGTTGCAAATATGAAATCATTTCACATCAGTCACTTTTCAAAAGTCATTTTTTTCAGTGCGGTCACTAAAGGAATTGTCTTAAGTCGAGGACTACCTGTGTTTGTTATCATATGGATGCATTCTCATTGTTTTCTTTTTCGTTTTATTGTTCATTTATTTTATTTCTGCTTTGTAAACCCTCTTTTCATTGCTTCCTCCTTATTGCTGGTGATTGTTTCGCTTTTTAAATATATTCACGTATTCCTTTTGTTATAGGTTCTTCTCTAGAGTTTGTACTTTAAACTTTCTGTATATTGTATCTTTTTAAGCTTTTAACATTACTAACTGGTTGCATTCCACCGTTGCTGTCTATCACTGCAATTAAAATTCAATTTTATTTGTGTGGTTTGTCACCTTGAGTCCTCCTTAAATCTAAAGGAACAAACATGTGCATACAGAAAACGCTAAACCAGGTTAATTCAAGATGATGGTTCCATCTGTTTCACATCCTGTGTCCAAACAGTATATAAACCATTATTAAGCTTTAATGCATAATTCACACAACCTGACAAGGTTTATTAATCAGGTTAGGTAATTGCTTGCAAAATAATCTTTGCTAACAGCCTGAGCTCCTGTCAACATATTTTGTTTTTGGCCAGCAATGACAAGACACTGGTTTATATCTCAGTGCCTCCTGCAAACTGAGAAAGCAGGTTAATTCAGCAACCGGGAGACGGGAAGTATTGTGTGAACGCGGCCAATGAGACACAGAAGGTGACCGGACTCTACCAGTTTTAATCTAGCAGAGAATCCCTTCTATTCATTTAACCCAGTCTGGAACCACAAACCTCCTTCACACAACCACTCACATACACACCCCGAGTTGCGAGTCTGCCGGTCTCGGCTGAATGGTTTTGTGGATCAGGGTATCTGCGGAGAATCAGTGTGAAGAGGGGGCTCACAGAAGGGTGGGTGCGGGGGACTATTCGCCAGCTATGTTGAGCCGAAAGGGGACGTGAGATACATACCAACACTCAACGGGTCCTGCAAATCCAGTTGGGCTGCCCCCCCCCTTTCCCTCCCTCTTTCCACCCATTTCTCCTCTTGTGTATTCACCCCAATGCATGCATGATGAAATGATAGAGAGATAGATAGAAAGAAGTAGACAGAGCTAGAGAGAGAGAGAGGCTGAAAGAGATGATGGATAGACAGAAGAGAGAAAGGGGGTAGAGGATAGAAAAATGGATGGATGGATAGATAGAAGAGAGAAAGGGGCAGAGGATAGAAAAATGGATGGATGGATAGATAGAAGAGCGAGGTAGAGGATAGACAGATGATTGATTAATACATAGATAGAGATAGATAGATAGATAGATAGATAGATAGATAGATAGATAGATAGAGATAGATAGATAGATAGATAGATAGATAGATAGATAGATAGATGAATGAGAGAGAGAATTATATAGATGGGAGAGAATGATGAAGGTAAGAGAAAGGAGAAAGAGAGAATGGATAGAGAGAAGAGAAGGGAGGAGAGAGAGAATGGAGAGAAGAAAATGGATAGATAGAAGAGAGAGAGAAAGAGGTAGACGGATAGACAGAGGTCAGAGAGATGGAGAGAGAGAAGGGGGAAAGCGAGAGAATGATGGAGGGAGAGAATGATGGAGGGAGAGAGAAAGAGAAGGAGAGAGAGGGATCTCAGACGTTTTCTTCGCGCTGCGGGAAGGTGAATCTTGCGCCTCTCCCGCGGGCGGGCAATCCCCGCGGAAGAATTCCACGCCACGGAAGAAACCCCCGCCGGCTTCACGCCAAAGTCCCGCTGCACCACCGCCGGGCGACCTGCGACCACCCCCCTCCCACGTCTCTTTTTCAGCTACCCCCTTTTGTTCCCTATACAAATTGTGTCACACCCCGTTTTCTTCGGATCGCCTCCACCCGAGTCCAGGGCTCCCCTGCACTTAAGCGTGCAGAAGCGAACGGATGAAGGGGGCGGGGGGGCGGCGGGGAGAGGGGGCATTTAAAGATGGGGAGGGGGCCTTACCATTGCAGCCCCGAAGATCTTCCTGGCCACGCCACGCGCGATCTGGCCGACGGCTTCAACCTTCAGGAAGGTGAAATCGGTGGGGGGCAAAGTCGATCTGCTAAGGCGGTGTAGAGGATGGGGGGGGTGTCTGTTTTCCGAAAAGAAAGAAGAAAGAAAAAAAAAAAAACACCCGAAAAATCTTCTTTTTTTCTTCTTCTTGTAGGCTTGCGCTAAAGACCCGATCGAGGCAGGAGCGAAAGGAGGGAGAAAAGGAGAAAATAAAAAAAATAAAAATAAAAAAACGGGGGTTTTGGGTGCAGAAGTCCACGAGAGGGAAAAGCTATTTTTCTTTTCGCTTGAAACACGAAAAAAAAAAAAATAATAATAATAGAAAAACCGAAGGGTCAGCCGCTCTTCTGTCCTCAATGCTGCCTAGCGCCTTGAAAGGTGGGCTACGGAGCTGTCCCAAGCCCCTAGCCAATTTTCTCCCGGCCGGGAAGGCATCACAGAAGGATGTGGTGGGAAGAAAAGAGAGCCCGGGGGTTTTAAAAAAATCTTTTAAACAGGGGGAAAAAAAAATATTATAATGGGGAGGATGCTACTGCCAGGCAGGGCTGGCTTCGTCCTTTGGAAAAAGCTCTAATCCGGATGCAGAAGAAGAAAGGAGAAAAGATCCGCATCCGAAACAGAGTCGTGAGAACCTGGCTAAGCCACCGGAGCGAGTGTGATCCCAATCCGGCGCGTCCTGCAGAAAAATTCCCCAGGTTTTCCCTTCTCCCTCCCTCCTCCTGAGAGGCGGGGGGAGGGGGCGAGAGGGAGGGGCAGGAGCTGGGCGGAGTCCGCGGCCAATCACTTAGTGGGGCCGGCGCGCCATAGCCAATGGGGAGAGGCGAGAGGCGTGGCCTCCTCCGAGAGCTTCTTTCAACCGAACCCTTCGGTGGTTCTCCGGAGGCGGAGCCGCGCAAGAGAAGACGGGACGTTGAGGACTAGCCGCGTGGGGAGTATAGCTGAGGAAGGAAGGCAGAAAAGCGAGGAGCAAATCAAACGGGAGAGTCCCTAAAAGAACCAGGCACCTTGTTTTGAACAAGAACTTGATCCTGAGTTCAAGTTCTGCCTTAAACCATGAAAGGCAGGTTGGATGCTTTTGGGTCTTTGACTCTTTTTTTTTCAGACCAGCCCACCACACAAGGTTGTTGTGATGGTAAAAAAGTAGGAGAAGAAAGGTGTGTTGGATATGTTTGTAAAAATAAAAATAAAGGTGATAGCAAACATATCCAACACACCTTGTTGGGGGGGTCCCAACACACATTTGGGGTCCAAATACAATAAATAATCCTGGTTTCCCATCTTTGGCATCCACAGCCTCCCTGTGGGTTTTCATAAGCAAAGGGGGTGCAGGGCAATGGTGGGGGTAAATTGTTGCAGATAGACTTCCCCTGGAGCTGGAGGCTTTAAGCTGTGTTTCTCAACCTTGAAGATGTGTATGGATGGACATCAACCCTCGGAATTCCCCAGCCAGCTCTTCCAAGTTCCCCAAGTTGATAAAGACTGTTTTAGATTTAACGGCAACTCTGTTCTTCATAGACTGCTCCTGGCATTGGAGGTTCTCGTCTTACTCTCTTCTTAATTACCCAAGGCTGTTGATAATTTGGTTGCTATTTAGCCTTTAGTGTTTGCTTCTACTGAGTATAAAAAGTATAAATGGCTGGGGAATTCTGGGAGTTGAAGTCCTCACCTCTCAAAGTTGGACAACCTTTGAACAATCTTGCTCTTGAAAAAAACCAACACTTCAACAGTTGCATGCAAATACGTTCAGACACACAAACAAACAAGCCCACTCTTAAAAGCATTGTTATTTCAAGATCTGTTTTCATACAAATGCCTAATCATCGAAATGAAAGAAAACCATCTAAAATTAGTATTTTGTGACTTGGGAAAGGATGCTTTGACTGATATTGGATTTATTTATACATGCTTTCATAGGAGGCCTCATGTTTCTAGACGCAGAGTTTATGTTTTGGTTTTTTAAAGTCCAAATTCATAGCCTTTTATGACAGGAGACAAGACCTGTCTGCCAAGGATGAAAAGATGTGGCTTGGTGCGAGGATGAATATTTTATTTATTTTATTTATTTATTTATATGTTCAGTTTAAAATTTTAACAAAATTAAATTTCATTAAATGCATTTAATTATTAATGAAATTCATTTGTTAAATTAAAATTGTTATTTGTAAAATTAAATTTTGAATATGAGAATATTCAAATATAGGGCCTGTTGGCTCAGCAGACTGATAGCATTGTGATTAACACCAGCTGTCCGCAATTACTGTAAATTCGAATCTCACCAGGCTCAAGATTGATTCAGCCTTCCATTCTTTCTAAGGTAGGTAAAATGAGGACCCAGATTGGGGGGGGCAATAAACTGACTTTGTATAAATATATACAAAAGAATGAAGGCTATTGCTTAACGCATTGTAAGCCGCCCTGAGTCTCCGGAGAAGGGCGGCATATAAATCAA